GTGCTTCAAGCTATTGTCGAGATTCTTCTCCCATCAAGGCATAGAGTGCCGGAGCTTTGTCTTGTAATAGATGGCAAAAAACGAAAAGGATCAAGCTGTTTTGGTTTTCTTGATATTTTTGTTCTGGGAGGAATTGAGAGAAACGATGTTTGTTTAGAACTTAAATATATTTCGTTAAACGGTCTGGTGAGAGATGTTGGAAATCAAGTAGGAGTTCTTGATGCTAGTGAGTTAGAAAAGTTAGATAAGATACTTGAGACGGAAGATGAAGAGTCTTTACTGAATAGACGATATGTATATTGGTCAACGAATCTTAGAAAAACGGTACAGACAACCATATGTGAAATAATAAATGATGGATTAGAACAGTTAAGGTCATATATGAGTACAATAGCAAAGGGTTATGCGGTTGGATATTCTATTTCGGGAGTATTCGATGAATGAATTAAGATAATCAAATCAGGTCCTAATAAACTAGAAGGATTCATCATCGTGGTTGTTGGATTCCATCGTATCTTGTGGAGACCCATTTAAGAAATGATATCCAACTATAAATATATTAATGTTTAATAAAGAATTACATCTTTGTGAAACAGTTTAAAGTATTTCTACTGAGTTCAAGTGGACTAGGTGTTGCGAAAAGAGATGAAAATGACAATTTGTTTTTTTTTTAGCCAACTAATCCGAAATTGACTCAGGAACATTTTTTTTTACTTAAGAAAGAAGTGTTGATATCTTAATAAGATTTTATGTTACTTAGAGATAAAACGATGCAAAAAAAAGTAAATATTTTCAATGTAAATCGATCACGTGAAATCATATAATAACAACTCGTCTTGGAATAACATAACATGATCAGAACAAATGTTCGTTTTCAAAAATCTCTTTTAAATTCGAAAATTTGCTTAATAGATCACCTTTCATGCTCTAAAAATTTTTTGGACAATTTTATCATATGCTGACCATTTTCTAATTTTAAATCTAACTTTAACTCTAAAATAAGTGGACTCTAAAGAACTTTGGAGCATCACGTGAGTGACCTTTTGGTGATGTTAAAGTAATATCTCATGATGATAAGCCAATCACAAACATGGATTTTAATATTTTAAGGTTCAATATATAATTTTATTTTTTATAATTAACTTATTTTCTTTTTTTGATTAAGCATTTTGTTCTAAGTTCTTTTTAATTTAAATTGTGCATTAAAAAAAATAGTTACTTTTAGCTTAAATTATTAATAGTTTTAATTTTAAATTTTAAATTTTAATTTTTTTAATTACTTAACTGTAGTTAATGTACTGTACTCATTAGAAGACCCAAGGTTTAACTTATAAAATACCTAAATATATTGAATAACAAAAAAACCTACCTCTATTTTAGACTAAAAAAATAACATGCAGTTCATAACTTTAAAAAGATTATTTACAATTAATAGAATTCTTAGATATAATATATAAAAGATATAATCAAAAAAAGATTTTTTAATCAGTATAATATGATATATGTAATAAATCAGAATACTAAACATTATTAAATAAAATTTTTTTTTAGTATTAAGATGATCTTTTTGGTTTTTTGACTTTTATTAATGACTTATTAGTAATGTTATTCTATCAACTACTACAAAAAAGAGTACAATTAGTTATATGTGTAACTTTTATATATTACCTATTTAAGGAGTTTGCTTAAAAGTTCTTTACTAATTGTTGTATCTAACATTTCTGTTTGGGTGTTTTACTTTAAACCTTCTAAACCTGTAACTTGTATTAACTTATTGTATCATACTCAGATGTTCAGATCATTATTTTAACCTTAGAATTAATTTATTTTTGAAGTAAACCCCTGGAGCCTTTTGTATCTATTTTTATAATTGATTTAGGTTTTATTATAATACAACTAACACTTGTAGTTAGAATAATATCATTTGACTGCTATATTTTTGTAGAGTTTATACAAACTTCAGCAGTTATTTTATAATATAATCCTAGTACTTTAGTATACTTTTGTCTTTTGTTCAATCTTTTTACTAAACTTTTAATCCAAATAGACTATGTAGGATTATGACCAGTCTATCAATATATTAGGTTAGCTTGATATCTTTTTTTTCTAGTTCATTTTAGCAGCCTAGTTAATGATACCTCTGAGACTCCCAACCTGAGGTTCTTACTTATTCAACTACTATAATCTTAGTATCTGTTTTTTCAAACTAGTTTTTATATTAGAGTTATTAAAAATCTTGCTATCTCTCTACTTGGATTTTTTTAAATAGACTTTTTGTCATCAAATTTCAATAAATTTATACAACTACAAAGACTTATCTAGTATTTGTACTGTCTGATTTGTTAGTTTGCATTTCTCTGTATAACAAGATATACAGATGTTTTATAACCTGTTAGTTATACTGATATAATCATTATTACAGATATTCTAACCTAATTCTTAGTAATAGTTGCTATAATATATATGAATATTACAAAGGTGATTATCTAAATTTTTTGCTTTCAATGAGATTTAAACATTCAACCTACCAGTTAGAAAATTGACAACTTGACTATTTCACTAGGTTGTTACATTCTATTAAGAAATTTTAAACAATAATATTAAATAGTATTATTATTATTATTATTTTTTAATATTAAAATAAGTATATATAACTTAGAATTTTTTTGATAGTATATATTAGTAAGCATCTGTTAATGTAACAGACACAAAAGTAATTATGAAAAAAGTATACAACTAGTCACTTATACAACTTTAGTTATTATCTAATTTAAGTAGTCTGCCTAAAGGTTTTATATTAGTTGCTATATCTAAGACCTATTTATAAATTTTTTATTTAAAAACTTTGATCACATATTCATTATATTCTACTAATGATTTCAATAACTGATAAAAATATTTCATAGTCACTAAGTTAAATTTAATTTTGTACTAAACTCATTAGAGTTTTTTGTATCTTATATTTACAGCTGATCTGATATCAGTTTGGTTTAAACTATTACTTGTAGTTAGAGCTAATTATTAAATCATTATACTTTTGTAAGATTTATTCAAATTCTAGTACCCATCTTTTTGATGTCTTCTTTATTGTTTTCTATTAATTATATTTAAGATCTACAAGACTTTTCAGACTTCTAATTTAGATAGTCTAGTATAGTATATCTTAATATTCTTTTTTTCTAAAGATTTTAGTAGTCTAGTTAGTCATATGCTTATTTATATATTTTATTATCCAGTTTATCTATTTATTCTTATTGAAAATGTTTTATAAGTTTCTATTAGTCTAACAGTATTATTAAAAATTTGTACTATCTTCTTATTTGAGATTTTCAAGTAAACTTCTAAATTTATAGTTTCTTCACTTTCTGTACCTGGTAGTCTTATTATAAGTTTGCACCAAAGTCTTATATAATATCAGTTAAACATTTCTTTATTTATTTGTAATATTATATTTTACATAAATGCTCTGAGCTTTTATTTAAAATAATATAACTGAAGATTACAGATATATCTTATTCAACTGATTAACAGAGTTATTTATCATAATACAAATATAATTTTCAAAATTCATCATTTATAGGATTTGAACTCTAGATCTGCCACTTAGAAGTTAACAACCTGACTACTTTACTAGTTCATTACATCTCTGTTAAGGGTAAGAGGCATGTAAATTATTTTTATATAGTTATATATAGTATATTAAAATTTTTATCTAAAATTGATATATGCTATTAATAGAACTTTTTTATTTTTTAATTAATTAACAAAAAAAATTTATAATATTATAAATAAAATTATTTATCTATTATAATAAAATTTTGATGTATTGTTTAATTTTAAAAAAATATACTTGTATATATAATAAATTTTACTTAGATAAGTTAAAATTTCATTAAATAATACAAAAATGAAGAATTTGTTTAGTTAATTTATATAAACCTATTAGTTAATTTTATTTTATAATTTTATATTCTGATCTTTAAAAATTCATATCTTAATGAGTTTTTAATCTATTTTAATAATTTTACTATTATTAGAATTAAAAAGACCTATTTTACAATTTTTACTTAATATTTAAAATTAGTTTACTTAATATAATTTTTTATAAAATTAAATATAAAAAAAATTACTATTAGATTTATATATAATTTTAAAATACTGCCTCTATTCTAAACAGTATTATTTTTTTTTCAGTATTAAGATGATTTTTTTTGGTTCTAATTTTTTATTAATACTTATATTAGATATATATATATATATATATATCTATATTAAACTGTCAAATGAGTATACAACTGGTTATATATATAACTTTTCTATATTACCTATTTAAGGTGTTCATTTGAAGGTTTTCTACCAGTTGCTGTTCTTAATACTCTTGCTTAGGTGTTTTATTTAAACCTTCTGATTTGGCTCTGATATTAACTTTATCAAATTACTAACCTAGATCCTTTTACCATTGATCTTTAAGACTATAATCTTTAATCTATTTTTATTTTTAAAATAAACTTATCAGAGTAAGCTATATTTTTTTTTATTGCTAATCTGGTTTGACACTATAGCTAAGACAAATACTTGCAGTTAGAATTATTTATTAAACTGCTATTATTTTTGTAAAGTTTAAACAAATCCTAATATCTATCTTTTTAATATTTTTTCATTATTTCCTACTAGCTACAATTTAGAACTAACAGACTCCTTAAATTTTCAATCCAGATAGCCCAGTATTAGTATCTTTTTTTCTAGTAATTCTGACAATATAAAGGTTTTGTTATTTAAAGTACTTTGTATATAATTTTGCCAATAAAATACTTAAAATTTTATTAAAGAAATCTTGTCAAGTTTAAATAATTTTTAAAACTACATAAATTTAAGAATAAAAGTACATTAAAAATAGAAGCTTAGTTTACTTATAAGACTTACTAATTTATCCAGAAGATTCTGGCATATAATTAATAATAAATAAAGATAAAAATAGAAAATAAATATAAATCATTATAAATCAAAGTTGATCATTAATACACATCTTAATCACATTATTGATAAGCAAAATTGCATTATAGAGTAAAGTAAATGAGTTATAATAATGCTTATCTATCTATATTATATTTGCTAAATTAATCCTAATTATAATTAATAAACTGATAAACTAAATATAGCTAAATTAATTATAGTAATTAGCATGTAATTAAGAAAAGACTTAGAAAAATAATGAAAAAGAAAAATTACAAAGAAATTATAGTATTCTTACAGACAGTCTAGTTAATACAGTATATATGCTTCTTTTACATATCTATCATTTAGTTTATTTGATAATTTTTATAAAGGTGTTTTATGGATTTCTATTAGTTCAATAGCATCATTAAAAGTTTATATTATCTTTTTGTATTTGATTTTCATATAGGTTTTTATTTTCTTGGTTTTTTAGCCTTTTACACTTAGTA